CTCATAGGGTTTCATCCAGACCTATTACCCCTACGATCACCGTTGTACGCTTGATACCGATCCCTACTTGACTTCGGTTCTTGATCAATGTCTCTTTTGAATCTGTCACTAGCTCAGACGGGATAAGCAGACCCGGAAGGGGCCCCAAACTGATCATCTTCAACCCTAATTTTTGACTGATATCGATTATGCACATCGGCCCAAGTTATAGCTGGATATTCTACCAGATTTTGCTTCAACTGCTGCAAAGCCAACAAGCTTCAAGTATTGAGATCTTGGGTGAAGGCCTGAACGACCCAATCATCTGCCACCGACGGCAGGTCCACCCGTTCCATTTGAAACCTTGACACGAACTCCCTGAGCATCTCCTTATCTCTTTGCTTTACCTTGAAAAGGTCCGACTTCCTGGTCTCAACTTTGTTGGCTCCGGCATGCGCTTTTACAAAAGCATCTGCAAGCATGGCAAATGAGTCAATAGAATTGGGGGGGTAAGTTGTGATACCATATCATTGCTCTTTTTGACAAGGTCTCTTCGAACTTTTTCAGCAGGACATATTCGATCTCATCATCTTCTAAGTCGTTTCCCTTGATGGCGCATGTGTACGAGTTCACATGTTCATTTGGATCAATTGTTCGTTGTACTTAGGAATTTCAGGCATGCGAAAATTTTTTGGTATCGGCTTCGGGGCTGCGCTCGAAGGAAAAGGTTTCTGAACAAACTTTTTAGAGTCTAGGTCCTTCAATATCGGTAGTGCTCCGGGGATTTGGTCGACCCTGGAGTTATAGGTCTCCACCTTCTTGTCGTTGGCTTCGATTTTCTTTTCTCCTATTTCTACCCAATTTTTCAATTCCTTGAGCATCTTTATTATCTCAGGGTTGGTCCCGGGTTCAGCTTCATTTGGCCTATCTGCGGCTGGTTCATTTCTGCGAGTGTTTTCCCGGGATGATTCGGGCTCAACCCTACTAGGAGCGCGACTTTGGTTCTGCAGTTGGGCTATCGCTGCCTGCTGAGCCTGCATCATTTTGAAGATCACCCGCAAGTTGATTCCATCTCCTTCACCGTCATGAGTATTTTGGGCTACCGATCGGACTCCCCTGCAGATGCTGTTCTCAAGATCGGTAAGCAAGTTCATGTTGATGGCCACATGTGAGTTGGCGTCGATTGGGTCTGCGGTCGGAATTCCGTTGGGATTGGCGAGGGGTACCTCGTTACCGGGCATCATGTTGTTGTTCTCGCCACGATGGCCAGACTCAGCATCCGTGTTTAGAGGGGCAGATTGGGAGTTCGACATTTTAAACGTTGACCTAAAATCAAAGACACTTCAAAGAACAAGTGTGAAGTAGGGCGTGTTATGGAAATTTATATCAAATTTTTATTATTATCCTTAACCCCACGGTGAGCGCCAAACTGTTTACCCTCAAAATCGGATAACAATTAAATTTATAAGTGGTTTTAAGGATATGTGGATTAATTTGATACAAAATGATAAATTGGGTTAGAATGGACAAATAGAGATACATTAAATTCAAATCGTGCGAGGAGGATGATTCCAACCTTGTTGAAATATTCACCCTCGATCCAGGCTCACAGTGGACAATATTGATGAACGAAAGAAAAAAGCTTACAATAACAGTGAAAATAGTAGTATACTGCTTTGGAATGCGTGTTACAACGTATCTAATGAATTATCAGACCCCCCTTTATATACTAGGGGAATCCTATTCTAAGTACAACTCTATAAAAGGTAAAAAAATCTTCTGTTTAACTGATTGCTGGTTCTACATCGATACGTGTCGAGATCCACACCGTGATATCCGACCGATCGCGGATATTACTGCCTTCTGTTGGTCGTGCATGATTGCCCGACAATGTTCTCTGAAGTCTCTCAAGATTTGGATCGATCTCGAATCATGACCCCCATATTCCTGAGGGCAGACAATCGGCCCCCGGACTCTGACTCGATGAGACCTTTGCCTCGATTCCGATCCTTCGCAATCATATCTCGAGCTCGTTTTACCCTGTTGGAGGCCGGAGTGTATCATGAGCTCGATTTTTACCCGTATACAAACTCATTATCGGCAAGATTATTTTCCTGCTCTACTTTTCCGCTTTAATAATTTTTTATAAGGCATGACAAAATATTCTTTGATATACTATAGATATGCAACCAATGACATATACATGCAGCCATAATATAATATTCATTCTCTTTATTTCGCTCAAACCTTCCTTAGAAATAATATTTATCCAACAGCACGCCCTTATTTCATTCCCCTCACCATCTTCGTGTGTGCAGGCTATTAATTTGCAGGTCAGTACTTGCTTATTTGCAAGGAAAGCTCTTACTCCGTACATAGTTTCTTTGGCTTTTTTTTAGTTAACTTCAATAAGATATTATCCAAGCGCCTACTTAAGACTTACCATCGAGTTGACAAAGTTTTTGTTTCGTAAGTCGTAAGTCAAGTCCTCTTCAAAACAAATTGGTTCGTAGATTGGAATACATATGCCAAAATATTACCTGTCATATGTAATTGGCAAAAGTACTGTAGAACTATGACTTTTATGCATGACAACATTTCAACGATTTTATTTAATTCAAAAGTTTGAGATCACTTTTTCCCCAATCTTTTTGGAAACAAATGGACGTGATTGGATTAGATATATAAAATTTGAAGAAGTGGCTTGCCCATCTACCCAAAAAGTAATTAAAGAATATAAAAGGAAATAGAAAAATGAAAAAGGTTCGATCAACTTCGGGGGGAATGCAAGAGAAAAGGTCCAATCCTATCCCATTTATGCTTACAAATATATTAATCAGTATCTAAGTTATGTATATAGATGTATAAATAATTTTTATAGTATTTTATAATTTAATCGACTATTGCAGGTAGTAATTATTTTGTTAAGTTATCACATAAACCGTATTATGAAAAGTTATATGTCATTGGAAGCCAACTTTAACATAAAGGTCTAAAAACTAGTTATTATTTATGCACAAAACATAAACTAATTTTATTATAGAAGTTTGTATTATGATTAGTTGAATATCTAAAGATAACACTTCAACTACTATCTTCCAATTATATGTGACCGCTAATTGATTGTTCTCTCGGCTTCGCGGCACTATTTTTTTCTAGTTAATACAATTTTAAAGTAATAATTTCGAGGTTAAGGTCCACAATTGAGATGATGGATTCAAATCCATTTCCCCTTCCCCTCCCCAATGTAATAATTTGTTTTAAAAAAAAGTAATTTCTTTTGAATAACAACATTTCAATGGGATTTCAACAACGAGGATATACCTGTTGCTTACTACACTGAGAGTAAACATATCCGTGGATGACATGTTCAACGCCAACCATTATATAAAAGAACACAACTTATTTGTTCAGTTTCATAATTGAGCTTTTATTTAATTTATTATTTATATGGTAATAGTAAATTAACTAACTTATTTTTCTGGCTGATGGGAGCGGGGGGGATGGTTAATAAGAATGTTTGAGCTGCAGTTAATAATCAAATCACTTTTTCCCTTGACATTACTTCCATTACATTTATTGATCTTTCATAATCATATATATGGTTCATTTTCTTTTGATGAATTGTTTTATTTCACAGGAATCACTGTAGACGGTATTCATATAGGATAAATTGTTTTATTCTTTTGTATATTTATTTTGAAAAAGTTGAAGTATTTCAGAGGAAGTATGCATCTATTTTGCTTGAAGAAAACAAAAGCATGCAATCTGTAAGGTTTACTATGCAGCTTAATTCTCTACTATCTTCGTTGTCACTTTGCAGTTCAGGATCCATTAAAATAATGTTAAGTAAGGATATAGAACAGTCTATCTATAGATTAAAATGTAGACTTTTTAAACAAAATTCAAAAGAATTGAAGTTAGTTAAAACTGTAAACTATGAGATAAATACTCGTTAATTAAAGTGTTTAAAAAGATGTACACAAAAAGGTGGATAGAAGAGTGGTTGTTAGGTCAAAAGTCGAAATTCCTACGGTCATATAAATGGTTGAAAATTGAGGAAGAAAAGTAATGGAGAGAAGGGAGAATTAGAGCAAAAGGACCAGCAGCCCACCTACCACAAAATCCACAAAGTGTGAAGTACAAGGACGGTCTTTGGTTCTACAGTAAAAAGCACTGAACCACTTTTTCTTCCTTTCCCCCCTTAGCACTTATGTTCTCCCCTCCTTTTTTAAGGTGGTATCATATTTTTACCACGTTTAAAATATTAAAGATTCATATCGTCGATTTCAATTAATGTAATTATTGTTATTGTATCACATTTTTATTACTACACAATTTAATTGAAAAGTCTTTGAACTTAATAAATAGTACTAGTATTGTTAGGTTTTTTAAGGCGTGAATAGGAAAAGACACATTTTGGATTAAATATTTTCATCTCACCATTTTATTATCTATAAATTCAGACGCTTGACCTCATTTTTCATATGCCAAAAATCTAGAAATTTTTCCTTTTCTTTTATATATTTCTTTATATTTTTTTAAATAAAAAGTAAGTATCAAGTATGATATGTTATGCTATTTAAGTTTGCCAAAATTTTATAATTTATAATATCGCTATTACATAATAGTTTTTTATTATATCCTGAAAGGAGTTAATTCAAGTATTTTTGACAACAGTGAGAAATTAAATTTTTTAAGTACATACAAAAAATTTATAGGTTCAGAATATTTTCGTTTCTATTTTTATAACTAATGTTTCTGGTTTTCTATTTTTCTGTTTATGAACACAGTCTACTAATAAGATGTTAATATATTGAAGATAATATGTACCAATACGCTTACTATGTTTTGTGCAAGCAGAAGTTGTTTGGTTTGGTGTATAAAAAATTAATTTTAGTATAAAATTCTGCACTGCTTATATAAGTAGCAGTAATACAATACAACCGATGCAGCTTATTTTATCAGACTGTGATAATACAAAAGCTAAATATACCAAATTTTTACCACCCTCAAACCACCGACGCCTTATAAAATGTACTAGTTTCAGGTCATTGCCAGTCCAAAAGAGGGAAAGAGAGGGACTCTTCTAGGAAAGTGAAAAGTGGGTGAATCTGGCCGTCGTCGTCGTCGTCAGAATTTTCCACCGCCACCGGTAAATATGTCGTCCGGCAGGTACATGGCCTACTCACGATCTCCCTCTGCTCCTCACTCTCCTCACATCGGTGGTCTTCGCTCTGCTTCCTCTACCCTCGCCGACCAAGAAAAGTGCGTTTCCCCCTTTTCTCTACAACTTCCTCTTTTATATATATAAATTTCAAATCTTCGTCTTTGCCGATTCATGTGGTTATATACTTATTTGTGGATCGTGCTGAACTTGATTAGCTTGTATCCGATCTTTAGTTTTTTTTTTCTCCTTTGCCTCCCTCTATATGCTGCTTTAAATATGTTTTGTGATTATGACCTCTTTTTTCTTTTCCTTTTTGTAGTCTGTTTTGTCCAAAATGAAAGATCTGGTTTAACTGTTTCTTCCTTAGTTTAAAGCATCAGTTTTAGGTTCAATAAACTCTGCCTCAATTCCAAACGGTCAAGGATTGGCTATTGCACCCATTCCAATATTTTTATTAGGTTTGTTGCTTCGAAAAGTTGGTTGCTTTGTCCCTATGGAAAGCTGATAATTATTGATTTCCCCTTCCTTCACATCATTTTTCCAATCTTTTTCTAAGAAATTAAGAGAATAACAGCTGTAAAGTATAGTTTCAGTCTCCTTGCTTGAACTACTCAGGCATTGATAATCCAAATTCCCAAGATCCTTTTTCCCCTTCTACAGCACTTATCAGTCCAAGTGGATCCGGGGTTTTAAGTTGGTGGATGAGGAGTACCACTACACCCAATACTACTTTGTGGCGGTTATGCAACTTATCATACGTGGGTCGACCTGTTGCACCCACTGACCAAATACTAAAATTCTGTTCTTTTGATTTACATTCTGGTTCTACTCACTGAAATTTAGAGCTTATTTTTGCTTATACTGCTGTCAAGTAATAGACTTAACAAGGAGAAACTTTAAGTGATAGACTTACAAGGAGACCCCCCCTTGCACTATGTAAATTGCTTTTTTCGATCTTCAAAAAAGTTGTGTGCGTGTAATATATTTGGGTTGGAACAGCTTAGTTTTGAATGTTTTAGTGAAAGCCTTCCCCCTAGATCCCGATTCAAAAATTTTTAGTGAAATTTATTCATGGGAAGCTTTACTATGCTGAATCATGAGAATGAATTTCCTTAAACATTAATCTGAAGGATTCAATTATCCCTTTCATTGGTATAATAACTCAAAATTGTTAGAATCTGGAGCCTCTAGCCTGGCAATATAATCTGAAAATTTTGATAGATGTACGGATGATTTTCTTCTTGTTTTGTACGTATACCGTAAATTATTGCGAGTCTTTAATTTGTCAACCTGTGTTAACAGGTATCTCTCAGAGTTACTTGCGGAACGCCATAAGCTCAGCCCATTTGTGCCTGTCCTTCCTCATTGTTATCGATTGCTGAATCAGGGTGAGTAGGAAGTTGAATTTTGATTATTTTAGCCACTTGTGCTTCTGATATCATTAAGTAAATTTTATTGCTTTAGCACGATAAGAAGTCAAAAGATAAAGAATGAGGCTGAAAAACATTTTAAGTTACTAGGTACATGTTTTTTTTTTTTTTTTTAAGATGG